TCATTTGTTAATTTTTTGTAAAGATAGGGGTCTCACTATATTGCCCAGGCTGGTCTCAAACTCCTGGCCTCAAGCGATCCTCTTGCCTTGGCCTTCCAGGCTGCTGGAATTACAGGGGTGAGCCACCACACCTGACCCTCTTTTCCTACTTTTTAAGTATTTTTTTAATATTCATCTTTATCTCTTTATTGGCGTAGTAGTTTTGTTTTTGCTTTTTTAGCAGTTGCTTTAGGGCATTAGTATGTATCTTTAACTTACTGCCTTCAAATGATATTATATCACTTCATGTATAATATTAAAATGTTATTATAGCATACTTCCATTTTTCCCACCCAGCCTTTGAGTTATTATAAGTTTTACTTTTTCTTAGGTTGTAAACCCTACAATCCATGCTTATTATTTTTGCTTTATAGTCAATTATCTTAAAGAAATTAAAAATCAGGCCAGGCGCAGTGGCTCACGCCTGTAATTGTAGCACTCTAGGAGGCCGAGGCGGGCGGATCGTTCTGAGCTCAGGAGTTCAAGACAAGCCTGAGCAAGAGCGAGACTCCGTCTCTACTAAAAAAAAAAATAGAAAGAAATTGGCCAAACAACTAAAAATAGAAAAAAAAAAAAAATTAGCCAGGCATGGTGGCGCGTGCCTGTAGTCCCAGCTACTTGGGAGACTGAGGCAGGAGGATCGCTTGAGCCCAGGAGTTTGAGGTTGCTGTGAGCTAGGCTGATGCCATGGCACTCCCCCCAGGTAAGAGAGTGAGACTCTGTCTCAAAAAAAAAAAGAAATTCAAAATCAGAAAAAGTCTTATGCTTACTCACATATTCACCATTTCTAGTGTTCTTCATTCCAAAGTGTAAGTCAGGATTCAGCAAACTTTTTCTATAAAGAGCTAAAAAGTAAACATTTTTAACTTTGTAGGCCATAGGGTCTGTTGCAATCATTCAATTCTACTGTTGTAGCCACAGACAATAGGTAAATCAGTGAGAATGGCTGTGTTCCGATAAAACTTTATTTCTGGAATTGGGTGGATTCGGTCCACAGGGCCAAAAAATATTTTTTGTCATCTCCCCCGCTTTTTTAAACTGCAGGTACACATGCGGTGGGCCGTTTGGTGGTGTGCAGCTCACTGACACACTTCTCATCCCGGTCTTCGCTGTCTCGTGTTTCACGTCGGACGGTTTCTACTGCTGTGCCTCCAGTGTACCCGTCTTTTTTTGTTCAGCATCCTGTTCAGTGTATTTTTCGTCTCAAATACTGCATTTTTCATCTTTAGAGGTTGATTTGGATCTTTTTTATATCTTCCACTTTTCTCCACATCATAGCTACCTTAGTATTTTACCACCCTTGTCTTGTGACTCTGTCGTATACATCACTTGTGAATTCTGTTATCTGTGTCATTTCTGACTTTATATTGATTTTTTCTCTTGATTACAGGTCATATTTTTCTGCTTCATTGCATATCTGGTAATTTTTTACTGAATGCCAAACACTGTGAATTTTACATTGTTGCTTGCTTTCTTTTCCTCCCTCTCTCCCTCCCTCCCTTGTTGTCTATCTTTATTGGGGGGGGGTGCAATTAAATTTCCCCAAATTGGTTTTTTTCTTTCAATGTTTCTTTTAGGTTTCGTTAGGCTGGAAAAGACTTTAGTCCAGATCCGATCTGGCTCCACTGTTGAGGCAGCTCCCTTCTGAGGTCATGGTGGGACTCGTCACGTGTGTTAGGGCGTCTTTCCACTGTGGCTCGTAGGAACACACACTGTTGTACCCCAGCGTAAGTTCTAAGGATTATTCTGCCTACTCCTTTCAGGTGGTTCCCCCTCGTCTTGGTGGTTTCTTCATGTAGGAGCCAGATCACTCCTCGGTCTAAGACACAGGACCCCTCTGCAAACCCCCAGCTTCCTCTCTCTCCGCAGCTGCCTCCTCCTGGTGCTTTATAGCCGCAGGTTCTAGATGCCTCACCTCCCTGAATGCTGAACTCTTTTTTCTCAACTCACTGAGACAGTCTGTTTCTCTTCTCTCAGGGGCCACTGTCCCGTGATGCTTGTTTAGTGTCTGAAACCTGTTGTTTCATGTGTCTTGTCCAGGTTTCTAGTTGTGCCAGGCAAGAGAGTAAACATCCCTGTTGAATGACAGAAATTTTGCTACTCTTTTAAATTCTTTGGTCATGTGATCCTGCTTTCATATATCTATACCTTTTAAAATCTGAGCTCACCTAAGATTTCCCACTAAATCACATTTTTAATTATAAATCATCATCTCTTTTCCTTGTGGGAATTAATTACAGTTTTATGAGTAGAATTTCACTCTTGATTGACAGAGTCTCACTCTGTCATACCAGCTAGAGTGCAGTGGTGTCATCATAGCTCACTGCAGCCCGAAACTCCTGGCCTCAAGCCATCCTCCCACCCGGCCGCCCAGAGTGCTGGGATTGCAGGCGTGAGCCACCGTGCCCAGCCAGAATTTCCCTTTTTAGAACACACTGTCAAATCCTCCTTGAACATATCTCATCACAAATGTATAGAACATGTACCACATGCTAACAATGCAAAGATGAAAAAGGATTGGATTATGCCTGCTTTTTCTCTGAATTTTTTTAAATCTGTGTTCTTAAGATGCAGAGCAGTACTACTCAAAATGTAGCCAGCATACTGCTGCCAGTCTGTGAAGTGTTTGCAATATGGACAACACAATAAGGAGCTTGTGCCAGAATGTGAAATCAGCTACACCGCTGAAGGCAGGAAGTTCTTATTGTTGAGGGAAGTAGTGTGTTGGCTTGGATGCCAACAAAGCTCCTTCTCAGCAGGCAGGTACTCAACAGCTCATAGAACAGCTACTCTGAATAACACTGGCCGAGAGTAGTCATCTGAGAATGCTTTAGCATCCCCTTTCTTGGCTACTAGGAACTCCGGAGCTTTGGGGTTCCAGCAAGTTCATTTCAATTAAAGGGTTATTTCTTCTTAGTTAAAACTAACTCCTAAGGTATTCATTTTATGGCTGATAACTGGGTTATGGGACTTCTCAGCAACCACAGTTGCGGATGGTTTTGTTTTTACACTGGCACAGACTTGGGATTGGAACCACTTCGGCAGTAGACAATGCCCGTGGGACACCACTGTGCTAGTCTGCAAGGAAGTAACGGAGCTTACGGACTCTTCTCTGGGATTTCCATTATATCCAATTTATTTTTGTGGCATTACTAATCATACTTCCCTTGTTCATAGGTCTATTTTTACCCTCTCTCTTACCCTCATCCTGAGAATTTGTTTTATCTCAGTGCGTGATTCCCCATTTCCATTTGTTGTCTAGTTTGAGTCTCATCCTCTCTGATTATTGGTAATTGTCACCGCCTAACAGAAAATGATTGTAACACACGTCAGTGAAGAACTAGCATGGGAGAGAGAAGGCAGCGAATGTGCGAACCCCTTGAAAGGACTCTTGTGTGTTCTTTCTTTTTCAGTGGAAAGCTCTCCAGGGAGCCTGAAGAATGAAGAATTTTCTAGTAGCCACACGGTCACAGTGGTCAAAGACAAGAGTCAAGGAGCCATGGACCAGCTCTCTTTGATCTTGTCTCCTGAACACCAGATCTCCCAGAAGCTCTACATCCCTCGCAGTACAGCCACTGCTGCCTTAGGGGCCGCGGCGCGGCTGGCCATGTCCAGGAGCCTCTTGCACTGGTACCCCAGCGTGAAAAGGACGGAGGCCTGAGGGAGGAAGGGAGAAAAAACAAACCAGCTGCTTGGGGCTTGGTGAGCCCCCCAGGCCAAAATGAGGTATCGAAGCAAAAATAGTATTTGATAGTTGAGGTTTTGTCTTTCTGTGTGATTATATGTTCGCTTTATTATGCTAACAGTCTATTTTGATGTGTAAGTATTGATATTTAATGTTCATTTCATTTTGCTTTTATTCTGTATAGTTTTGTTCGCCTTTGTTTTCAGTGTAGTTTAAAGGAGTTTTTGCTTTTTGTTTCTGTGCATGTTTTTCTTGTACATATCATGACTTATAAATGAAAATTAAAAACATGTTTTGTGAGCCATATTTAGCAAGACAAAATATATTCTCACATCCCTATGTCCAGAAAAAGGATGTCTGAATCTTAGGGCTGCTATTTCTATGTAATTTGAAATCTTTTATATCACAGAGCATCATTATTTCTTCAAAATATTAGGGTAAGAACATTCCCACCCTGACATTACTAGGTCATATAAATACATTTACATTTTTAAAAAATTAAGCTCTTTTCAGTATAGGCAATTTCTAAACCACAGCTGAGCCATTTTTGTGGTTATCACAGTTCCCAGGAGCCTTAACGCAGCCGCAGTTCAGCGGTGGTTTTGTGTGAGCATCTAGGTGATGTGATGTTCTCGCTCTGGAGTCAAATTGTGTGAAATGTGTGTCCGTCTGTTGAGCTGATAGCGTAAATCACCAAGAGAAAAGGCTGAAAGGTGAAATTTTAAAATGTGAGTGATACTAACTGACTTCTTTGTGCTGAAGTACCAGACTTACACCCAAACTTTAAAAATAATATTTTACCCACAGAATTAACCCCCAATACAGAATCATTTCTTAGAAGTAAAATCAGAAAGGGCTATAAATTGCTGGCGTGCTGCATGTACCTGGGTTCTTACCTGTCCACCTGCTTTTCCAAGGCCGCCTATTTTGGCATTAAATGGCAGAGCAGGTCTGCCAGTTCCTCTCTCTTTTTTCAATAAGGAATTTCTCCTCTTTCCTTCTCAGCTATTTAGCAAAACATCCACTAAGGAAGGGAGTGGGATGGAAGTGTTTTGAGTATTACTGGCTGAACCTTCTTTGCGTTAAGTGATCTGAAACAGAGTTAAACCCGAAGTCTTAAATACTGATAAAATCCTTAAAACATTTAATGTAATAAAATTTAAAAATCTAGACTCAAGAATAATGATATACTAATTGAGAAAAAAAGACAAAAGTAATCTGGAAACATCACTGATAGTTGATCCAGCAGATAGAACAGGTTTGGGCTTTTGTCATTTTATATCAGACATTGTTATTGGAGAAGACAGATGGAGAGTTATATGGAGGGTCAGTGACCCATTAAATATGTGATGGTGGTTAGATATCATACATATATGATGCTCCACTGATATGCACTAGCAAAGCTATTTTTCATGTAACTTTAGATAAATTATGGATAACTGTTTCTAGAGAAGAAAATTCATTATGAAATGATGCCTCTTAGTATTCTTCCTTTAAGCGGGCAGGTCTGAGTAATATACTTTACTTCTCCGGATGAGCACTTAACCTGGGTGTGAGGCAGGGTAATCTGGTAGAAGTGCATGTCGTTAAGTGAAGGGTCGATGGAAGCACACATTTGTAGGTTAAGCTGCAACCCTCTCTGTAATAACACCCAAATACCAGGAGGAAGTCTGCCAAAGCTGCGTAGCCTCATTACAGGTTTGATAGTTGGTTTCATAACTGGACAGGAACTAATTTTTTACGCCTTGAGAATTAGATGGGGATTAGGAAATAACTGTGCTATGGCTTTTTCAGAATCCCATCCATTTGCAAATGGCTAGCAAGAGTCATTTAGGCAAAAACACACACTTTGAAAGAAGCCTATTTAGTAACTAATAGTTAACATCTTACTTGAAGATTCGAGAGGCTTGTACATTTTGACTTGGCTTTGACTGGGACAATCTATTTACCTACCTTCTCCCCCAAAAAATGGGGTTTAATAGTTGACTAAAATATCATCCCCAAGCTGCAAACAAATAGATCATTTGAAAATGAGAAAAAATGTACAAAAGTAGATGCTCTGTGGTTTGTGTTTAAATTTTGTTGTTAAAAGATGGGTTGACATCTGTGCTTTGAACAGCCACCCCAACATTTCTGGTGCTAAGGAGCTATTAGCAGTAACGGAGGTCCGTCCCCAAGAAATGCCGGCTGAGAAGTGGGGCCTGGGTGTGAGAGAGCAAAGGCGCGAGAACACACCTCCTCCGGGACTGGCTTTACCGACAGCCACCGAGGCTGCGACTCCGGTGGGTTATAGCCAGTACTGCCCCCGCCCGTCCAAAACTAGCCCCATGCAGCATGTTCCAGCAGCAGGCAGCCTTTCCCGCTCACCTTCCCATGTCTGAGACACCGCCTGCCCATTTGAGGCTTGAGAATGACAAGGCTTCTGCCCACGTTCAGCCCGTGTCTGACCTAGAAACTGAGACTGGCAGAACTTTGCTTTATGAAGGGGCCTTAGAAGAGGAAATTCGAAGCCTAGAAAGGCCGACTTTCCTGCAGTCACGCAGCTTGAATTCCCGTGACTGCTGACGTGCAGGGCCCTGCCCTTTCCCCACAGGAAAGTCCTGCTACCCTGTCTTGTGCACTTTAAGTGACGTGGTGGCAGGAGACACAGGTTTGGCAGAGTAGCCCCTAAGAATGGTGGTTCCGATAGCTGAACAAGCCCCCGGTGTGGGTGGGAAGGGACCGATTTACAGAGATCTCATTCTTGAACGTGGATAAACTTAAGCAGCAGCAGGCCAGTGCCGCAGACGAAGGATCTGGAAAGAGGGGATCATAAGGAATGAGGAAACCAACATCTTGCAAAGAAACCTTCCTGAAGCTTTCTGTTAACATTCATACTACCTAGCTAGGTTTTTCTAACAAGTTTTCAATACATTTTTGGAATTCAGTTTCATGCACACAGTATCATGGGCAGCATTCACTGTATGTCTCATGCATAACTTTGCAGGTGTTATCACTGAGACACTGGAGTGATTTCATTTCCTGCAGCCCATCCAAATCTCGGCCTTTTCCAAGATGCCAAGCTGTGTCCGCTCACTCAGTCTTTGCGGTTTGCAGTTAGCCTGGTCCTAACAAGTGCCATTCGTCCCCTTAGGCAGCCACCAGCCTGCCCAGCAAGTTGGTGGTATCCTTGGCCTGCTGAAGCCAGAATCCTTTAAATACTTCCGTTTTAACCTTGTGACGGAAAATGTTTTAACCGCTCCGTCAAGGACTGCTCTAATGCTGAGTATCATAATTGCCTTGTTTGCCACTTTCTGTGTGAAATCGAGTGTTTAACCGTACCTCAAACTAAATATGGAGTTGATTCACAGTTAAATTTTCTTGGTTGTAAACACAGTTTTCAGGAAATGCTTTTAGCTTTCTATTTGGTGTAAACTTTTATGTTTCTATTAAAATAAATTTTTTTAACTTACAGAAAAATGGTTATAAGAAACAATGTTTACTTGATTATAACTTCTTGGTGCAATTTTAAATAACCTTATGAGGAAACCAAGTTTATGACTCCATCTCTGCTCTCTAAACTTTTGTTACAGAACTGATGGAAGGTTGTTGGGATCAACGAATGATGATTAGCTTAATTAGTCTTTGGAGTTTGTAGCAGTATTGTGTTTGATTTAAATACCTATGAAGTTGGAATTTGTTTTATAAAAAATGTCCAGGTATTTCTTTGTAATTAGTTTTTGTGGTGTTGATTCTGTAGGAATGAAAATTTCACTTAAATATGTGAACCAAAGAACTTAGTTGTGTAAAATATAAAATTTGTGTAGTTGAAAAACAGATTTGACATGCTTTGTTTTTTCTTTCAAAACACTCAGGGGGTACAAGTGTTTCTGTTACATGGATACCTTGTATAATGCTTAAGTTAAGGCTTTTGGTGTACCTGTCACCAGTGTTGATGGTACCCCAAAAGGTAAGTTTTTATCCTTTGCCCCCCACCACCCTCCGTCATCTTGGTTTCTCATGTCCTTTCTATTCCTTTGTGCCCAAATGTACCCATCATTTAGCTCCTACTTGTCAATGAGACCATGTGCTGTTTGGTTTTCCACTCCTGAGATACTTAGGATAATGGTCTCCAGTTCCATCCAAGTTGCTGCAAATGACATTATATTTTATTCCTTTTTATGGCTGAGTACTCCATGGGTGGGGGTGTGTGTACACACACATATACCCCACAGTTTCTTTATCCACTCGTGCACTGATGGGCACTTAGGTGGATCCCACATCTCTGCAATTGTGAATTGTGCTACAACAATAAACATTTGATGACATGCTTCTTGACCAAACCATTTGTGTCTTCATTTTTGGCACGACCTTTTTATTTTTAAAGTAAAGTACTTGGCCTTTATAAACTTTTGCTATTTTGTAGCTAAATAATTTTATTGCATGAAATTGGAAATTCATTATTGTTAGAGCCACTTCTTAAGCACCTGACAGCTACATTACGAAGACTTGTGTTATTTCTCTGGTGTATGGTGATGTGTCCTACCCTTCTAAGCCACCATCTGGGTTCTTAAATCCTCTTTTGAGACTGTGCCACACACCAGATACCAAATCCGGTCTGCAGCGGCAGTTCAGCGCTCTTTCCGCTGCCTCCTTAATTTCTTGGTTACACATTCAGAGCCTTTGCTGCAGTCCAGCTCTTCTGCCTAGAGCAGATTACTTCTATTCTAGGTGGTTCTCAAATTCCAGAACTTTTCTTTAGTCTCCCGTTCCACTGGACCATAAGTAGAAGCCAAAGAATAAGTTCAGTTCATTGCTTAGTATAACAAATGGCTCCCTGGCAAAAGTATTTGTTACTGCAGTGCTACTACTCTGATGGAAAATCTCTTAGACCATATATATGGAAACACCTTTCAGTTGATAAGACTGTGTGTACCATTTAGGATACTATCAGCTGAAAAATATCCCCACAGGATGTTCCATATTCCCCCCTAATGGATAATTTCTTCCCCTTAGAAAGATGAAACTTAAACATACGTGATACGGGCCAGAGCCAAAAGTTTTTATCCTTTTCTGAATTTTCAAATAACATTGCTTTACTGTTCTGGAGTTGGACAGTTAAATTGAGAGTAGAGGGGTGGAACACTTGGCTATAATTGATGACATCCTTTTTCCATATATTATTAGTTAGAATGTGTTTTGCAACATTTTGAGCAAGTGATTCAGATGTCTTTGCTAAACTTTTAGATTCAGAAACATAACTCCTCAAAAGATTTTGTTGGTATTTATCTAGTTTCTATTTGG